AGAGAATTAACGAAAACTTTTCTTGCTGGGTCATCAGACCCTAACTGGTACACCAGACCAGCAAACATTTTTTCTTTGTTGTTGGACATAACACATGGTAAGCAAACAATTCTATATAGCAAAATATGGTAAATTAAATGTTAGGTACTGGATTTAGTACCTAACTTGATATCATAAAAAATGTAATAAATCAATTTCACCTGGTCTTGGGAAGCCTTGTGGGTATTCTTCAATATCCAGGAGCCCATCTCCAAATTCATATGCTAAATCACATGGATCTTCTGTTGACATGACTTCCTTAACTTGTCTAACCACAAAATATAAAGGACTAAAGGAATTTGCAAATGCCGCCACAACTGATCCACCTAAGTAATAGTATTTAAGTTATTCCGTTGCACAATTTAAACATGATACTATTTGAGAAAATTGATCTTAGAGGTTAAGACAACAGAAAAAAGGCAATCAAAAGCAGTAAAGGCAAAAATATTACAACGTATATTCTTCGACTATACTAGTCATACTAACACAGTTCTAAAAGAATAGAAGTATCAGGAGATCAGAAGAGATGACACACATGGAACTGGAAAGTAAAAACCCAAAGGAGTATAGGACCACACCAGAAATGACAAAGACAAAACAGGGACATTGACCATTTTCAGGGATGTTCTAAATCATTTCTCTTGAAGTTACTTGTTCTCTTACCTTGAATTCTGTTTTCAGTTAGCTTTCTTGTTAGAATTTACTGAACTTATGGTAGTGCTGAGTGGAAATAAGGAAAATTGATGGATAATCAATATGCGTATACACAGAATCAAAGATCAAACCCTAATCAGAAATCCTTCTTTCTCTCTACTCTTTCTTCTCAATTCTTCTCTAAGTTCTCTTCTGCTCTCTCTGATTTCCTAAAATCCATTATGAAATTCAATTTCCTTTTCTTAACCTAAACTCCCGAAAAACAATCAGGCATAGTTACTAAAAGAAAACTATATTTGGACTTTATTGCCTTTTCTTAACCTGTCTGGAGCAGGTTGCCTAGCACTTTAACAGCTAAGATTACTCAAGTTGATCACAACTAATTCAAACCACTCTCAAGGATAGAGGAAAATTAAGTCATCTCTTTTGCACTGGACGAAAGCTGAAAGATACCCGATTATAACCTGGCTTTTGAACTCTATGACAACACAGATTAGGAAAATAATTATGTGTCTGCCTACGACAAAGGAAATTTGGAATTTACTATGAGAAACCTATTTTAAGGAAAAAGATACAGTTTAGATGTATGATCTAACCATCAAAAGTTGGACAAATAAAAGACAACAAAATAGTTATAGAATATTCCAACCTTCTAAAAGGTTTATGACAAAAACTTAATCAAAATCATCGTATCACCAAGAAGAGCAGCAAAGACATGGCAACCTTAAAAAGAGTTGTTGAGAATAATAGGGAACACCAATTTATGGCAGGACTTAATGAGAAATATAATTAGGTAAGAGTTGAGACCCTGAGAAAGAAAAGATATCATCCCTGAATAATGTGATATCTTTAACTAGTGCAGAAGAAAGTCGAAGAGGAGTTATGATTGAATCTCACACAACTAATGGCTTTGTAATGGCAATTAAAAGTTCCAAACCATGATAACTGGGAAAGGAACCAAAGTCATATTAGACCTCACTACCCGCG